CTGCCAGCTCTGATGTCTTTCTTAAATACTTCAGTTGTACACCTTAGAAATTTTTCCAAGTATTCACATAACTCTTATAAGCGAATAAATTTAAAACGGCATGTATAAATGCTCGAACTCACAAATTTAAAGAACCTTGGATGTCACTTAAATGAACTAATTCTTTAAGGATGGTGACATTTTAACTTAAGAATTAGAACTCTGCATAGGTTACTTATTGTTTATTTTCACTTCTGGCTAAAAGGCAGTTTCATGGAATAGCCCAGATGCTGTTAGGCATTTTAGGTACATAATGTTGATAGGCTCCCTAGCATGAAAACATTAATAAAATGATCATAATTCTCTTAAACATTTCTGTGCTTAATTCTAAAATTTCCTGAAGTTGAAAGATGCTTACCCATCAAGGACGATAACTATTAGTTATTTGAGATTTCTTAACCCTGAAGGTTTTTATCCCAATGAAGTCTGTAGCTATAGACATTCAGGGCAAATCTTAAGGAAACTCTTTAATCACCTCATCTAATGTTGGAAATTGCCTTCTCTGCATGCTCTGTTTGTATCTGTGACCAGATATTTCAGCTGGCACACTCACTAGATTCTTAAGTATAACCATAATGGGATACATGGAATCTTATTCATAAAGTATCAAAAAAGCCATTGCTCAAAGGAGAAACTCACATAGCCAGATTCCTTAGACTCAAGTTATGCTATGACGTATTTATTTATTTATTTATTTTTCTTTTTTTAATTAGGATGTATTTGTTGTACAGGGGGAATTCACTGTGACAATTCCAAATAGCCTTATATTGTACATTGTTTAGATGATCCCCCACTGGATAATTCTTCATTGTATACATTTATGTCTGTAGCTCCCACAGGAGTTGATCACTTGATTGCCTATTTCATTTCTTTGGATCCCATCAGTAGAAATACCTGCTTGCCTAAGGCTAAAACTTATGCAATGGATGGAAAGTATTACATTTGTCACATATTTTTTAGGGTCAGGCAATTCTTTTCTATATTGAACTGATAAGGGATACCTTGTGGCATTGTTTGAATTGCAGTCACAACATAAAAGATCTCTAAAAAAGCCAACTCCAAGGAATGACATTTACTTCATGGCATATGTGGGAAGCTTTCCTAAGTTATTCAGTGTGTTTCTATGTAACTGTATACAATTACATTCTGTTGGCAGTCACAGGAAGAATGTTATGGCTGTATTGACAGCTAGTATATTATTATCATGATAACCATTCCCTCATCTCATGTAGGGCCTAATGGGAACACTGAGTCCATTGGTCTCATTGCTTTCTTCCACTTCCTAATCTATCTTTTCTTTCTTTTCCTCGCTTCCCATCTTGCTCAGTGTAGATTCCATGATCTATAGTTTCAAAATATGCTAACATTACCCTAAACTCCCCTGACATTCTGTATTTTTTCACATATGACAGATAAAGCTCCAACCCTGAATGAACCCTCATTTCTGAGTGAGCTTTTTTGCCTAGAGTGGCTGAAAAAAAATCACAAAATTTGTTGTTGGTCCTGCCATACATTTATCTTGTTTATCCACCATAGGAAGGCATTGGATGTCACCTAAGAATCACTAAGTTCTCAGCTCACTTCCCTCTTCTGCTGTCTTCAGTACCATCTCAGTTAACTTCACAGACCTGACACTCTTGTTTCATAAAGAAAATAGAAAATATTAGAAAGAACACTGCTCGTTTCCCTCCATCATGCAAACGTGCCTACATCACCGTATCACTGTGCATGCTGCCTTCTCCCCTCAGGTTACAGAAGGGGTTTTCTTCTCTAGATAGGCAGCTATTCTTCACACTAAGCCTGTCATGTTATACTCCTCCGTGTATGTGAATTGTCCAGAAAAGGCAAATTCATAGTGACGGAAACTACACTATTAGTTTACTGGGACTAGAGCTAGGAAAGGGTATAAGGAATGTTTCAGGAATGATGAAAATGTTCTAAAACTAGGTTGTAATGAAGCTTGTGCATTTCAATAAATTTATCAAAAATCATCAGCTGTGCACTTAAAACATGGGTTTATGATGTGTAAAGTCTGCCTTAAGTTATTGGGAAAAAAAAGCAGTGAAGAGTCTTATAGTCTTAAGCTTTTGATGAGCTTGCTAATTGCAGCGATTATTAATGTGAATAAAAGTGAAATTACATAAAACAACTTAACATGCTGCATTTCACTTAGATATTAGAAAAACAAAATAGCAATATTTGTATTCCACAGATTATGTTTGGACAAAATTTTTTAGTCATATCATATGAAGGAAAATATTTCCTGCCAACTGGCTCCAGTGTATTAAGTTACAATCTCTCTCCGTCTGTACCTGGTTCACACCCTTAGCTATGAATTATTAGCATGTATACAGTAATATTTTGTTCATGGTGACACTGTCATGAAGAGAATGCATCGCCAATAGCAATTAATTAAGGTATTTTTAGGACTCTCAACCATAATTAAAATACAAGTTGAGCTCAGGACATTTATTTATTCATCTATTTGCTTGTTTATTTATTGGTGGGACTGGGGATTGAACTCTGGGCCTCACAGTTGCTAGGCAGGCTCTGTATCACTTGAGCCATGCTCCCAGCCCTAAAAAATTACTTCTGCCTAATGTGGGGCTCAAACCAGTGACCCTGAAATTAAGAGTCTTACGCTCTACTGACTGAGCTAGCTGGGTGACCCTTGAGTAGTTTAATGTGATCAGGAAATTTAAGTTTCTTTTCAGTATCTAGTATTTGTTGTTTTTTCACATGTTGCTAATTCCTTTTTATTTTTGAATTAGTATACGTTGATAATATGAGGGGACTTCACTATGATAATTCCATACACAGATACAGTGTACCTTAAACGAGTTCACCCTTTCATTATATTTCCATTCTTCCTCTCCCTATTCCCGTTTTTTGGTGTTTTATGGGGTTCATTATGCTGACTTCACATGTGTATCTGTAGCATACTTCCATCCCCTTCATCCCTCAGTATCCTTTCTTTTCCTCCTCCTCCTCCCTCCCTCTGATCCCCCTAAACAGATCCCCACATACATTCATGCCCATTGTAGCTATTATTATTATTACCATACACGTTAGTAAATCTTGAACGCATAGGTCAGATTGTAAGTTTAAACTTTAATGTAATTAGCTGCCAACCAGAAAGCAAAATGCCATCACACAAGAAAATATATTCTGCACAGCTTCAGTAGGAAAATGTAAACAAAAGGAAAGAGAGTCTAGGCTTGACTTAATTAATGTCTTCAATAAGAAAGGTCGTTTGCAGAGGACAAACAGCTGGCCACGTCCAGATATTTCTCTGCTCCACAGAGCATAATTTTAAGAAGGTATTGTAGTTAAATGAAAGACTGACTCTCCTAAACAGTTGATTTACTTAAGAATGAAGTTAGAGGAAGGCTACATCCCTGGAATCCTAAAAGTATAAAGGGGAACATAGATATTTATGCACAAATCTAAAAATATAACTTTTTATTAAAAATAGACTTTTTGACATTCAGAAGTTAATATAATTTAAAATTGTGAACCAAATATTTATTTTAAATGGCAACATATGAGTTGTCTGAGAAAAATCAGATTTTCAAAAAATATAACATGGCAACTCGTGGTATGAGAAGCATGCTTGTTTTTAAAGTGACTGTGTCTTCACTTATCCCCCAAAGATCATGATTTTCAGAAATGCAGTTTGCACCAGCACATCTGTTGTTCTTATGGAGGGGATTAAAATGAGCTATTTTTACTGAAGTTCTGTGCAAAGTAAAAGAATGTTAATCCAGTTTGCCAAAAATTCACCTATTCTAGGTTTTCTTTGTATTGAACTTTTAAAAATATTCTTTTCCTCTATATGAGAAAGCTTCATTTTTATTAAAAAATCTTGAAGTTTTATATGTTTTTAAGCTGTGTTACCATAATGCAACATTTATATGATCTAACCTTCTTATCTTGGGAGTTCGTATGCTAGTTGTTTAACATTAAATCAGTCCTTAAAATTAAAGATGTGCATGGATCTCCTGAAGATCTTGGTAAAATGCAGATTCTAGATCAGCGGGCCTGAGGTGGTGCCTTTTGTCTGCATTTTTAATGAGCTACAAAGTGACGCAGACACTGCTGGTCCTTGAAACACACTCTGAGATGTAAGGACCACATGGGCTCTTAGTATTCATAGAGGAATCTGCCTTGCAGATTACATGGCAAACATTTACTGAGGATTTAATCATCATCACAACAACACTGGACAATGGTCCTCTGCTGGAGAACAGAGATTGTACAGTATTAACTTATCTGTAAAGAATCCATGACTGAGCTGACCATAGAACCAAATAGACTTCACAGAAATGGAAATCGGCTCATTGCAAATAAATATTTATAGACAGCAAACTACCCAAATATGTTTTTGTTGTGGAAACCATGTATTTTTATTGGTTCATTTTGATTTTCTAAACTCTAGTCTTAAAAGTAAATCTTTGTTAGAAAGAAGAGTGCTTAATACAGATGCCTTCGGGGCACAGGGGTTATAGTAATGGTACAGAGGACTGGGAATAAGGGAGAGGGTCCTTGAAAAACACACTTCAGCCAACCATTGCCACGTTGCGTGGTGGGCCTAGTATGGCCACAACTTCCATTTTTTCCAAGAAAAGCCAGAAATACAAATTTCATGTGAAATTTTCCAATTTAATAATGTTGGCTACCAGTTTAAATTCTTTAAAAGCATTATTCTAGCCAAGAAAGCACATCTGTGTAGCAGATATAGCCCATGAGCCACCCATTTACAATCTCAGTACAGAATACACTGAAGTCTCTTAATGCACGTCTCATGATTGAAAAATTGTGAATTTTTCAAAATGAAACCCTCTGGGCTTTTGTCTTTAGACACTTAGGTCAGAAGGAATAGTTTCCGTTTTATGTGTTTGGAGGCACTGTTTAAGATTGGTGCATAACCATAAAACCTGTCTTATTTTCTCACATTTCAGATTATAGGACAGGTCCATGTTTCACTCAGGTCAACAACCAGATGTGCCAAGGGCAGCTGACAGGCATTGTCTGCACGAAGACTCTGTGCTGTGCCACCATTGGTCGGGCCTGGGGCCATCCTTGTGAGATGTGTCCAGCCCAGCCTCAACCCTGCCGAAGGGGCTTCATCCCCAACATCCGCACTGGAGCATGCCAAGGTGAGTCTGCTGTCTACTTGTGTACACCATCACCACGTGCCATCTCTCCTTTGACTGGAGTTGGAGACTTGACACTGTGGATGGAACCCTTGAATAAAAAGCCCATTTTCAAGAAAGGCCTTGTGAACAATCTTAACCAGGAGTAGTTTATATTTTAGCTACCTAATAAATAACTCTGGTTCAACTCTTGACATTAATGGAGAAAAGAAAGAGAAATGAAAACTAAAGAAAATTTAAAAGTCCATTTTAGAATATTTTATATGAGAAGATTGGTCACTCTGTGTCTTCCTCCAGACAGCTTGACTCCTCCTGCTCCCCAACTGCTCCCCAACTACCCACATGCAAATACCCAAAAAAGATACATTTCCTTTCTCTCCTTGTTTTACTCAAGTCATGAGAACTTGAACCCAAGCAACAGAGCCACCCAAATTTGGCCCTGTAGTGTTATATCAGTGTACTATTAATAGTTATTATCTGCATAACTATTAAGAGTCTTCAAAGACAAACAGTGTGCTCCCTCACCTGGCTGAGGTTATTTCAGAGCCCATAACCCAGGTTGGTTATAATCTTATCTTCATGTGATCTCTTGGAACTCTCCAGCCCTATTCATGACACTAATAATGTGTACACTCAAGATCATATCAGACCAACTCCAGTGCAAGACACCCAAAGTGGTTATATACTTACTGATTAATTATCTTAGTTAATTTTCAATCACCACTATTCTTATCATTCTTTGGCTACTTCTCTGATGTCATATCTATTAAATTCATTTTTAGAGCTTAGAAACATTCTCTCTAATGAGTTCTCAAATGGCAGTTGCCTTCACATTACGTAGCAGTAAGAAAATAGCAATGGCTTTTGTATTATTCGCAGATATATTACTCCTATTTGAGGTGTGATGAGTTGGGTTTATTTGTTATAACTAAACCATGTGCAAAGTTAGAGCTGAAGTCTTTTAAATTGATGTAAGCAAGCAGTGTCAGAAGTGAAGATGAAGCTGGGCTCCATGGCTTACGCCTATAATCCTTTCTACTCTGGAGGTGGAGATCGGGAGGATTAACGGTTGGAGGCCAGCCCACTCAAAAAGACCTCAAGACCCCATCTTAGCCAATAAAAGCTGGTGTGGTGGCACATGGATTCATAAATAGGAGGGCCGAACTCCAGGCTGGCCCAAGCATAATGCAAGCCCTATACAAAAAACTTGGAAAGTAAGAGGGCTGAGGGGATGGCTCAAATGGTAGGGCACCCGCCTGGCAAGTGCAAGACCCTGAGTTTAAACCCCAGTACTGTCAAAAAATAAAAAAGTGAAGATGAAGCTAATGGCATGTTGTAAAAAGCAGTCCAGTGTCCTAAACCCCAGTTGAGAACTGTGTTTTCAGAAGCTCACCTGCAGCCTTACCTCACTGAATAGTAAAGTATGGGTGCTATGGAAAATTTGATAAATGTATCCCTGATTGTAGCCTCCAAAGGTTTTGTTAGTTTTGAAGTTTTATAAAAGGTAACACAAGTTTAGTGGCCCTCATCTGAAAATCCAAAATCCAAAACATTTTTTTTGAGCACCTACATAGTGCTACAAATGGAAAATCCAACACCTGAGCTCATGTAACAGGTTGAAATGAACATAATCATTAAAAATATTGTGAAAAATTACCTTCAGCCTCTGTGTATAAGATGAATGAAAAACATAAATAAGTTTTGTGTTTAGACTTGGGTCCCAGCCATAAGATATCTCTTATGTGTATGCAAGCGTTCCAACATCTGAAAATCATCCCAAATCTGAAATACTTCTGGCCTCAAGCATTCTAGTTAAAGGATGCTCATACTGTATTTAAAAATTGGTCTGAATATAAACTCTTTTCAAGTCAGAACTACAGAGATGCCCAGGCATGGCAATGTAATTCAGCACATTATAAAATTTATATTTCATCACCTATAAAAAGCCATGTCAGTTGTGGACCTATAATGAATTTTTTAGTGACTATCACACATAAAACCTTAAGGCTAAAGATTGCATTAAATGCCATCTTTAATCTGTTGTTTACTATGGGTAGTAAAATTCTGTGTTTTTCATGTGGATACTAGTCTGATAATATAGCCATCCTGAAGTATTCAACAGTTTCTTCTTTAGGAAGATATACTATAATATATTCTATGTAGGGTTTATTACTCTGTATATTTCCCAGGTTGCTGTATAGAATACCATGTAATTTATATAATTTACGTGGACTAAAATACTCTACTAAATAGGTTTTGTAGGTTAATATAGACTGGATTTAATAACTTTTTTAATTCTACATCACTTTTCATCTTCTAATACACTTCTTTTTTCATTGTTTGTAATCTCCCCAGTGAGAATGTAAGCTCCATGGGGGCAGAGATCTTTTTGCCCACTAACATTTCTATGGGATCTAGAATAGAGCCTGGCATGTACTAGGTGCTCAGTAAATATCTTCTGAATTAGTAAATGGGGTTAGGTTTGAAGTACTTCCCAAACTCACTATTTCAAAGAAAAAGAGTTTGGGTTTTAATATCCCAAACTAATGACTCACCTCATCTGTATTTGTGCTCATGCTTTTTTACTTTAATATTTTGTTAACGAGGCTGGGTATTTCAGAGCACAATTTTTTTTAAAGTGTCATCTGATCTCACATTTTCTAAATGTCCTTTAGGATTTAGTAATGTCTGAAGACTTATTTGATTTTGTTTATGTCACAAAGATAAGTTTTGGCCTCCATTTGCCTTATAATCTAATGGATTAGCACAGTAATGGGAGCAAGATGAAGTGTGCCAATGGTTAATATGTCTGGAAAAGCAAGTTGAGAAGGTCTGCTTTATTTCAAAGTCATGGCATAGTCAGAAAGTTCTCAATTAAATATTAATCTTCAGTTCAGGTTATGTTTAGACTACTGAGTTTAAACCCCAGTTTAAACTCGTACTGTGATTTCATTTTCCCTTTAAATTCCTAAAACTATTTCCCAAACGCTTGTGCCAAATTAATTTGGAAGAGATGGGGCGTGAAAGAAAACATACTAAAATGTAGTACATACATGTCATATTATTTTTATAATAGTGATCATTTTTATGGGATAATTGAAAAGGTTTATAAAGTTAAAAATAAATGTCAGCTGTGTGGATGATAACTGTTAGTAGCTAAATATTGGCTCCAAAACGTGGTTCATAATAGCCAAGGGAGGACATTTCTGAATTTCTGAACATAATGCTATCCTGGAGCTGATGCAGTTTTAGTTGGCGTATTTTTGACTTAAGCGAGAATAAAATATGATGATGTAAATAAACAGGGTAACTGGAAAATGGGGACAACAAAATTAAGATGTGACTGAAAAAAATTAGACAGTGGGGAAATCAGTAAATTTCTTTTATTTTTAACAGTTGTGGTGATGACATTCTGCGCTTGAATAAGCTGTGTCAGAAAGGTACACATTCCTCAGGTCCTATGAGATCAGTCATGACAATCCTTGACCACTTTATTTTGAGAGCTATGTGAACTCTGACCCTTGTCCTCCCACCCTGTCCTCCAGACCTTGTCCTCCATCTACGTTTAGTCTTACACTTTCTTCCATTCTGTACTGCACAAAAATTAGATCATATAGGCTTTAAAATTTAAGCTACTGGACTGGAGACATGGCTCAAGCTATAGAGTGCCTGCCTTCCTAGCAAGTACAAAGCCCTGAGTTCAAACATGAGTGCTGCCAAATAGAGAAAAAACTTAAGCTATCATAAAAAAAGTGAGTTAAGATGATAGGGGAAAGGTAAATAATGTGCAATATAAGTCTGGTAAGAGTTGTCACTTTGAATCCCTTCACTGTATAATAAATATATCCTAATAAAAATTTTTATTAAAAAAACAAGTGAGTTAAAGATTTGTAAAGTTGCATTAACTCTTCTAAGAATGTTTACAAACTTTTTGTCATAAACTGCTATGTACGTTCATGATGTATTATTTTATTAAAATTTCTTTTTTTTTTCATTTACACTCATGAGTCTACTCTAATAAGAAGTGGTATTTTGCTGGAGGAATGGCCCAAGTGGTAGAGCACCTGCCTAGGAAGAGTGAGGCCCTGAGTTCAAACCCCAATACCAAAAAAAAAAAGAAAAAAAGAGTTATATTTTATTTAAAATTAATACTTGGTTTTGTGTCCTTTTTGTTTTCAAACAAACAGGTACACTTAAAAATCTTTAAAAAACTATATGGATACAACTGACATTTTATTAATTTATGTTATTTGATAGTTACATATTAAGTTTTTATACCATTTCATATGCTTCAAAACCAAAATATGGCAGGAGAAATTTTCTTAAGTTCCATCTCTTATCATTTTTTTTCTCTTTTTGTTATTTTTTTATTTTTTAGTATTCATTTAGTCACATGTACATACACTGTTTGGGTCATTTCTCCCCCCTGCCCCCTGCCCCCACCCTAACCCTCTCTCTCCCCCTCACTTCAAGGCAGAACCTGCTCTGCCCTCATCTCTAATTTTGTTGAAGAGAAGACATAAGCATAATAAGGAAGACAAAGTGTTTTTGCTAGTTGAGTTAAGGATAGCTACACAGATTTCTAGCATTGCTTTCATGGACAAATGTGTTACAACCCATGTTGATTCATCTCTAACTGATCTTTGCACTGGTTCCTGATCCCCTTCTAGTGTTGACCTCTGTTGCTTTAAGGTTACTGTATTAGCTCCTCTGGAGTGGGGACATCAAAAGCTTTCACGTTTTGGGTTTTCTACCTATCCCCATACCTCCCTTATGTGCTCTCCCCTTACTGTTTTGTCATTGATGAGAGTAAGGGATTAGTGTGAAGCCTCTGCTGCACTCCAGCATTCCAGGTAACATGAGGGACACAGGAATTCACATAGTCAGGCCTGGCTAGTTCACAGAACACAGACTTGAAGAAATAGCATTACAGGTCCTAAATCGGGTCCTGCAAAACAAAGGCGAGTGTGCGTTCTTTTCATAAGGCATTTTTGTGCAGAGTT